GGTGTTATCCATCAGAACAAGAACAATGAAAAAGCACTGGATTTAACCAACATTTATTTAGGAGTTACTATGTGCCAGATACTTCTACATAAATTACCTATAGTTAATCCTTACAAAGATTTGTGAAGAAGGTATTATTCCAAGTGAGGAGAATTTAGGTGACTTGCTCAAGGTCACAGAGATTCTAAGGAGTGGAGCTAGACTTGACTTCAGTTCTGTGTTATCTTTATTGCTCCGAACAGCATTCTGTGCACACATCACAGCTGAAATAGAGTGATGGCTTAGGAAAGAAATACTATCTTGTGTTAGGACTGTGGGGGTGGTGTTACCTTGACATATGATATACACAGAGGAAATGGGATTTTTTCCTCCAACATTTTATTATGAACAATTTCAAACATACAGCAAAATTGAAAGAATTTACTTCACATCTTTCCTTCTACCCGTCCTTTAATTCATTTATCAATCCATCTTATTTTTATGCATTTTAAAGTAAATTTCAGACATTAGTACTCTTTCCTTTAAATACTTCAGCCTGCATATCATTAAAAGAGTTCATATGTGTTTACAGTTTTTTCTTTTGTTGTAAAATTTACATAGAATGAAATACAAACATCTTACCTATCTATGCCCTAAGTTTTGACAAATGCATGTACTTGTGTGACCCAAGCACCTATCAAGATGTAGAACATCACCATCACCCCAGAATATTCATAATGGGATTTCTTTTGCTTCCTTCTGAAATAGTGGTAAATCCTGCTTCCAGGTGTATGAGTATTCTTCTTACTGTTATAGACTTGAATTGCATTTAAGTAGCGGAACTTGTTAAACTCTTACTGGCTGCATGAGACTGGGCAATAATTGAAACTCTCTGAGCCTGTTGTTTCTCACATATAAAGTGAGGATAATGGATACTGTCGTGTAATTCTGCCAACGTCGCCAATTTGTCTGGCTACGGCAAGGCCTACTGCGAGGATAAGGCTAAGGCTGATGTTGCGTATCCTACTCACAGCATCAGTTGTGGAGCCAATAATCCTGTTTGTGACGCCAATTGTAAAGCCAGGTGACCACGCTAGTTGTCACGGCTCTTTTACCTGCGGTAATCCTGCACTGACTGGGCCGATGGTTGAACTAGGGCTGCTAGGTCTGGAGCTCCCTGACGCCTCAAACCCATTCACAGACTGGGTCACAAACCCTTCACACGCCAGGCTGGGTCACCAGACCCCTTCACGCAGGTCTATATGCTAGGCAACTGGCCACATGGTCCTTGGAAGCTGCAGGTCTGGAAAAACATGGCTGTGCAGGGTCACTGCCCCTATCCGGCCCTAAGGTGAGGGGAGCCTGACCAAATTATTCCATTTTCCCAACAGATATTATAGCAGCTGTCTTTTTTGTTTTGTTTTGTTTTGTTTTATTTATTTATTTATTTTTTGTGACCGGCAACGGATTGCAACCCTCAGTGTCGCGCCCGTACCGGACCGGGACCGGCAACAGGATCGCAACCCTCGGTGTTGCACCCGCACCTCGCTCAGCCAGTGAGCGGCCGCCGGTCTGTATGTGGGATCCGAACCCTCGGTGGGAGCGCCGTCGCACTCCCAAGTGGCGCACTGTAGCAGTGCACCACCGGGCCGGCCCCAGCAGCTGTCTTTTCACCGGGGTATGCCTAAGCCCTGGAGGTTTGTCTTAGTCTATTTGGTCTGCTGTAACAAAAACATTGTAGACTGGGAAGCTTATAAACAACAGAAATTTATTTCTCACCGTTCTGGAGGTTGGGAAGTTGAAGATCAAGGCACCAGCAGATTCAGTGTCTGGTGGAGGCCCACTTCCAGGTTCACACACTGTCATCTTTTCTCTGTGTCCTCACATGGTAGAAGGCACAAGGGAGCTCTCTTGGGCTTCTTTTATAAGGGCACTAATACCATTCATGAAGCCTCCACCCTCATGACCTAGTCACCTCCCAAAGTGACAATTTCAAATATCGGTGTCCAGGAATCTTCTTTAACTCAAGGCCTTGTAACCCACCCCTTCCCTGTCCATCTCACTAAGAGATACATTTCCAATAAAATTTTATGTTCAATAACAATAACCACAATGTATATCTTCATGTTATTTTTATCTATTATATATACATAATAATTACAATTGTAACTCAATCCAGAAGACTTTTTATACTTGGAGCCCTATGATCACTAGGAAATAAAGAGAATTCAGTTTCTATTTATGCACATGTTTTTGTTGCAGAGAAATTCAATATGGTGATCAATAGAAGACTTTCAAGCATAAATATATATTATGATGGGATAAAATTCTGTGACTATAATGTTATGGATATTTAATTTCAAGGAGAAAAACGGAACAACGTACATTTTTTGAGGGTTTAAGAAGAGTTTATAGTTTGTTTTACTTTGAGTATTTGATGGTGGGTGTCAAATTGAGTATTTTTAAAAGAGTGATATAATAGTTTTATTTTAAAATGTCAATTTTTATAGTATGCTAGAAATTAAACCTTTTGCAACTATTCAAGCATAATTAAAAAATTTAGATATCAAACTAAAAATGCTTGAGGGAGTACATAGCTTCTCAAAGTTCTTTTAGGGGTTATGTGAATAAAAATTTGAAGACCCCTGTCAAATAGGGTTGTTGTGAAGATCAGGGATAAAGTGTGCAAAGCATCTAAAATAGTACTCAATTAAGGAAACTATTATCTGAGGGACTGAATTCTAATTTTAACCCTTTTTCTTCTTTGGTATTTGGTCTAGAACATTTGTTTTTCTTTATGTTTTAGTTTCACTGTCTAGATAAAGGATAACACAGACGACTATAAAACACTTTGAGTATGGGAAGTTTGATGAGCATAACTGCACCTAACATCAATAATGTCAATGGTAATTTTCAAAGTGATGAAAATATATGTATAGGCTCTATAAATTGAAGCATATAGCGGGTGTTCAAAAAAATACTTGTTGAATGAGTGAATGAATGCTACAAGGAAACTTGCTAGAGTAAAAGACCATATTTGTGTACCCATCCATTGGGTACTTTCCCTTAGTACCTGCATTTCTCAACCCATGGTGTGTTTAAAGCTCATTTTGGACATTTTCCTATGAATTAACCTTAAAGATAAAAAGAGGAGACAAAATCCTTCCCTGAGATGTGGCTACTTATTAATTTTCAGAGAGTATTTCCTCATTGGATACTTTACCAGTCTGTGATATAGTGCAGTGATTAAGAGCAGTGCCTCTAGAACCAGCTAGGCTAGGTGCAAGTTCAAGTGCTGCCACTTAACTAGCTATGTGTCCTTGGGCAAGTCACTTAACCTTTCTTTGACCCAGCTTCCCCATGTTTAAATGGGTATAATAATACCAACCTCGTAGGGTTGTTTTGAGGATTAGTGAGGAGGGTTATAGGATTATAGGTTGTTTGGTAGGTAGAAGAATGGTGCCCCCCCCCCCCCCGAAATATGTCCATGTCCTAATCCCTGGAACTTGTGGATATGTTATCATACGTGTCAAAAGGGATTTTGCAGATGTGATTAAGTTAAGGATCATGAGATAGATTATCCTGAATAGCCTGTGGACCCAACGTAATCATAAAGATCCTTATAAGTGAAAGGGGGAGGCAGGAGAGTCAGAGTCAGAGTAATGCAGCATGAGAAAGGTTTGATTGGCCATTGCTGGCTTTGAAGATGGAGGAAGGGAGCTATGAGCCAGAGGATGTGGGCAGCTTCTAGAGATGGAAAAGGTAAGGAAATGGATTGTCCCTTAGAATATCCAAAAAGGAACACAGCCCTCCTGACATGTCAATTTTAGCTCAGTAAGGCACATTTCTGATTTCTGACTTCCAGAATTGTAAGAAAAATTTATGTTGTTTTAAAGCCACCAAGTTTGTGCTAATTTGTTACAGCAGCAACAGGACATAACACAAATTTACAACCCCCTTCAGTTCTGGCTATTCTTTGGCTTTCTTCACAGGGCAATGTAAACAATTCTGCAAAAGCAAAATGGATCTTTCGGCCCAGGTACACACTATTGTTCAGTTTTTTGAGCCTTTAACTATTCTTAATCTCTAGGCAGCCAATTTATAACATTCTCTTCTTCGGTTTTCCACTTACATAGGGAAAATCAAGCGCTTTAATCATCTGCCTATGCAATGATTTTGGGTCACAAAAACCATGCTCTGAGGTCCCTTTTAGGAAAAAGTTAATTCTGAATTATTGCCTCCCTTTCTTTGGCAGGAGGTTCTGAGCCTAACAAAGAGATCCTAGAGTAGGAGTCAATCCTTCATGTTGAAGGCCCATGGGAATTAGAGCGTTTGGAGCAGGAGAAATGGGAAAGGAAAGAGGAAAAGAAGTTGGTAGGTCAGAGGAAGGCTGAAAAGAGGAAGAAAAAGGACTACACAATCCAGCCAAAGAATGGGAAGTGAGAGATGGCCTCCCACAGTCGATAACTCCTGAGTTCTTGCTCCGGTTTCGGAAACTTTCCACGCTGGCTACAGCGCCGCGCACCTGCCCCTAGGTTGCTGGGCCCATCTCGCGAGCCTAGAGCAGGTTTGGAATGCCGTTCTGGGAGAGCGGCCGCCCTGGCGGGGTGGTGGAGAGACCGCAGGGAGGAGTCAAAAGGCGTGAAAACGGAAAGACTACATCTCCCAGGCCGCCATGCTTTCCAGCTGGAGTCCTAGGGAGCTGACTGCTCCCCGGTTTCCGTAGGAAAGCGCCGGCTACCGCAGCTATTGTGCGCCGCACCATCGCCCTCCTCTTCCCGCTCCGCTGTCCGGAGGAAGGCTACATTTCATTGCCGCCCTGGTTTAACCGTTTCCGCGCCTCACAGGACAGCAGGCCGGCTCCCTGAGCCCAGGAAGAACTCTTAGCAGCGGGCGGGCCCTGGTAAAGAAACCCTAGGTTTAAGGAAGAAAGGGGAACAAGGACCCCGAGTGCTCCGGCTTGGAACTCAGGCTTCGCTAGGGCGGAGCGGAGGTGCTGGCTTTAAGAAGGGGGAGGGGACAGTGCAATCCGGGTTACCCGCGGAGTTCGGCAAAGGAAATCTTCAGCTAGCTCGGGAGCGAGGAGCGAGCAGGAGAAGCGGCTCCCAATCCCCGCGCTCACGCCCGCCTACTCCCTGGGCGGGCCGAAGTATCACGTTTGCAATCGCTCAGGAAGCATCCGGCCCGTCTCCGGGGCCAGCGGGGCTGCGGTAGCTGCTGCTTATCGGAGGCGATGCCGAGGGGGCATGCTGCTTGCTAGGCAGCACCCCTCCGGGATCCGACTGCATTAGTTAGCTATCTCTGTCACCTGAAGCAACCGCCAGGTCGCCGGTTCCCCGTTCGGACCAGCCAGCGCTCCCCAGGAGTCTCATTGGAACAGGTACTTGTCCTCCAAAGGGAGGGAGGCTACACGAGCTTCCTTAAGCGGGTCCCGCCCTCAGTCCACCCCATCTACTCCCCCTACTGTGCCACTGATGTTCTTGGTCTTTGTGTCTTTCCTCTATCCCCTCAACCTTTCCCTCGCCCTCCATCAGAACCATGGGGCATCCCCCACTGGAGTTCAGCGATTGCTACCTGGACAGCCCCGATTTCCGCGAGAGGCTCAAGTGTTATGAGCAGGAGCTGGAGAGGACCAATAAATTCATCAAAGACGTGATCAAAGACGGCAACGCGCTTATCAGCGCTATGAGAAGTAAGTGGAAGGCTTCCACGAGCTGTTTTCCTGAGCCGGTGGCTCTGGCCTTATAAGACTTTCCACACCGCAGGGGGAAGGGAAGATTCAGGTTGACTTTCAGCTCAGGTCTCTGAGGCGAATGGGTTTCTGACTCTTCAGGAGTGCGGTCAGTAGAAGTGGAAAGTGGTGGATACAATCAGAACTTTGGCCCTTTCCCTTTATTGGCCTTAACCTTATAAGACATGATCTGTAGCTGTGCCAGGGACCCTCTTGCTTTGCAATTACCCTTATTTAGAAGATAGTTGTTCCGAAGGGACAATATGCTTGTACTGTCAGACATGTTGAGCACCCCTGTCTGGGGCAAGGTGACATCCAAGCTGACCAAGGTTACATCCAAACTGTCCCAGCACCTCCTAAAGAATTGGGAATTAAGGCCAGCAGCTTGAATAATGATTTTGTCCTGGTCTCTGGTTGCTACAGAAAGTGTGGGGGTAGTAAAAATACCCCCTGGCATGCTATTTTCTAAGGAAAGCACCTTTGTCCCAGTGATTCTTTTTCCTGGATACTGATCTATGATTTAGGTCAAGGTCAGTCTAAGCTCAGGATTACTGGATGGCTTCATATGCCACTGCATTCTGCTTGAGGGTGGAATAAAGACCTGCCTACTGCCTTGGACAGGGAGCACAGCCACCAGGGAGTAAAAAGTAGGGCTAGGGTTGGGGCATGCTGGGATGAGGGAGCTTCACCTAGCTTGATTTTTCCAGTGGTCCCAGCTGACTCAGCTGTAGGACCCTCCCTCCCTCCCCCACTGTGTGTAGAGGTTTTATTTCCACTGGTTGGCAGGAGGCTTGGAGTAAAAGAAAGAATAATAAACATCCCCGTTGAGAGTGCAGGCAAGCCAACCTTTTGTGCCAAAGTATATACCCAGAAGAATGGAGGGTAATGATTGGGTGGAGTGATAATTAATTTTTTCTCATCTTGGCTGGAAGATGATTGTGAAAAATAACGTTAAAGTCATTGGCACATATGTCCTGTATGCTTATAGCTTTGTTCTGAGTGGATTTATCCTCAAAAAATGTCTAGGTCCAGTGTGGGGACCTTCTTAAGACTGATACAGCTAACCAAGAGCAGGGAGAAAGGCCTAGAAATGGCAGTGTGACCAGTAACTGCTGCCAGCTGGTATTTTTTGTGCAGCTCTTCTGATTAGCCATTTTCTGTGCTTTTCCTGCACATGTTGTCTGTCTACTTTTGGTCAGAATATATAAACTGTTCAGGTTCCTACAAGTTGTTTCATTGAATTAGATCATTTAATGGTTTGTCCTATTGTGGCCTGACCAAGAGTGAACTCCTGGATTACATCTTAAAGATGAAGTATTTGAAATGCTGATTCTTAGAGACTTATAGATCAGGCTTTGGGGTGTGTGTCCACTTAAGAGAGTTCATTGAGAGGTTAAAGATATGCAAGTTGTGCCACAAAATAGAAAGGTGAAGATTCACTGAAAAGAAAAGGGGAAATGTTTGGGCCTTTTTTGGTTTATTTATTACAGTGAACTACTTGGTGCAGTATCCACAGTCAAGTGAAGCTCATGGTAAGCCCTAAGAAGGGAGTGGCTTTGTGAAGTGCATGGTGAGCTAAAAATGTTTGCGCTAAGAAAATGACCAGCTAAGGCATATCAGAGAGTGAGATTTATAAGAAAAAAAAAAGCAGTTCAATAAAACATTTGGGGAAGGACAAAAGTTTTGTAAGCTCAGGGCAAGTAATCGTTTTTGTTCTTTCCTTCTTTTCTAAGACTAAAAGTGGTAAGAGTCAACAATTATGCAGACCCGAACCTTTTCATATGAGCAAAAGATCCAAAAGATGTTCTGGGCCAGAGGGCTTCTTGATATTTGTGGTGATTTTCTGTTTCTGAGTATACAGAGAAAGCCAAAAATAGGACACGTAGGAAGTAAAACCCAGCAGCTAACCCATGCTGTATTTTTTTTCCTTTAAATTTTGTGGATTCTAAAAGCCTAATAAGCTAGAAGCAAAGGCGGGATGTTTCTCACTGTCTTGACCACAGTAATGTTTATACTCCCACTTTGCTTCGTCACACTGTGCCAGCTGGGCGACTTTCTGAGAGTAGGTAGGGTGGAAGCAAAACAAAGGTGTGCTCTTGTTTTGTGTGAGGAAAAAGAAAAACAGAGTTATTGGAGTTAGAAGGCCTGGGTTACAGTCTTGGCTTTACCATCTTGGGATATGGCACAATCACTTACTTCAACTGTAAAATGGGTAATTAGTAATTATACCCACCTCACAGGGTTGTTGTGAGGCTCAGAAGAATTCATGGATTATGAAAGTGCTTTGTAAATGGAAGTAGCTGAACAATGTAAGTTGTTGATAATACAACTGTTGGTGAATGTGTAATTTTCAGTAAGTTTCTGAAGGGAAATGCGTAAGCAGGAGTAGTTGGAAGCAGAGACTGTTTTTTGGTTTTTTTGCTTTGATCTTGTTGGAAAATATCACTCCCTACATTGGTCTCAGCAATGAGTTTCGTATTCACGCGTGTGGATCCATTTTGACATTTGGAGTCTAGCATTAAAAGGCAGGAAGACTGGTTAACACCTTTTTATTTAATTAAATTGACCATTAAATCAAATAGCTAGTGTTTCTAGGAACCAGTGAGACTTGACACACTATTTCAAAAATCAGCTGCAGTTTTTCTTAAAATTGTTAATCCAGGTGGAACTTGATTTCTACATTTTATCCTGCTTGTATCTGATTTTGTACAGAGTTCTAGATACGGCTTTAGTCACAAATGTGTGTGATGATTCATTTATTAAATGTAGGTCCTGTTTGAATATTTAGATTTACTTAGCTCTGTGCTCAGAGGTAATTGATGTTATGAATGATATTCAACATGCCTTCCTTGGCGAAATAGTTGATCCCCACTCCCCAAATGTGATCTATTTATAATTGTTGGAGCTCAAGATGATTATAACTTTAACGGAAAATAAAAATACCATTGGTCTGATAGGTGACTATATTGCCTGCTTTTCTGTTTGTTCTTGGTTTTTATATTGGCAGTTTTAGTCCCTGATGTTATTTGAATATTTGCTAAACGGTGAGGCTAGGTATTATTCAGAACAAGTAATGTGACCCCTGCTTATGTTCCAAGGCAACGTGAGACACCTAATAAGTGTTATTTATAGTTTGGCAAACACATACCATTCATTCAATACATACTTATGCACATACTATGTTCAAGCCATTGTTCTCAGGGCTGTGAGGCATGCAAAATGAGTCACAGATAGACACTGCCCTCAACAAGTTCCTAAGCTAGTAGGGAGACAAGACATGGGTAGAAATCACTGTCATATAAAGGAGTAGATACAGATCAGAGTAATAAGAGTGGGATAGGTGGACATAATGTTATGTGACAATAGAGGGAGAGCTCATTTCCCAGTGAGAGGACAAGGGAAAAAAGCAAAGGAGGAGGTAGCACTGGAGTTGGGCGGAATTAATAACACTTACCACTTGTTTAGCTGTTCTCATGTATGAGGCCTTATGTCTTATAACAGTTTTATGAGATAAAGGTTAGTATTCCCATTCTATAGATGTTTGGAGGAGTTAGGTAACTTCCTCAACTACTAATGGTAAAAGTCTGAATTAGGACCTAGACTTGACTCTGAAGGCCTTGTTTATTTTACTGTATGATACTGTATTTAGGACTGAGCATTTCATGTAGTAGGAATGGCACTGAGAGTGTAAAGGAAGAGCAAATAATTCACGTCTTCTAGGATATAGGCTGTAGGAAGGAAGATTTGGGAAATAAAGTTGGAATGGAAGGTTGAGGACTGACCATGTACCTGTTAACGATTTCAGACTGTCCTCTATAGGCAGAGAATACTAAGAGAACGTTTTTGGTAGGAGAGGAGCATGGTGTGAGCTGTGTTTTATTTTTATTTTACTTTTTTGGCGGCTGGCTGGTAAAGGGATCTGAACCCTTGACCTTGGTGTTATCAACACTGCAGTCTAACCAACTGAGCCAACTGTCCAGCTGAGTTGTGTTTTAGGAAGATTCATCTGAGAGTGATGTGTAAGGTGTTAGCAATCCCACACAAATGTTTGTGTCTTTTCAGCAATTAATTTGCAGCTTTAAATTTTCTTTAATATAGCTTAGGGGTCAGCAAACTGTTTCTGTAAAGGGCCATGTAGTAAATAGTTTAGGCTTTGAGGGCCATGCAGTTTCTGTGGCAACTATTCAACTCTGCCGTTGTGAGAAAGCAACCACAGAGAATAGGTAAATAAAATGAGAGTGGCTGTGTTCCAATAACACTTTATTGACATGTAAATGTGAATTTCACATAATTTTCACATCATGAAATATTATTTTACCTTTGAATTTTTAAAAACTATAAATATAAAAACTATTCTCAGCTCAGCTGGGGGAGGGGGGCATACAAAAATAGGTGGCAGGCTGGATTTATCTCACCACCTGTAGTTTGCAGATCTCTGGTATAGCTATTTAATCTAAAATATCTAACTGGATTTTTATTAATAAGGTGGTGAATATAGCTCTTGGTAGAACATAATGCCATATCTCTCATTTTCACTCAACTAGTTTTACTTTACTATTAATTATGCCTGTTCTGTATTCAGGGATCTCAGGCTCAAATGCTGTTAGAAACCAAGAGAAAACAGAAAAGTATGAAGATGCTGGAAGTGGGTTAATAGTCTGGAGTTATTGGGGTAAAATATAGCAGCTTTACCCTGTTAAAAAGGCCTTTACATTCTTATTTTTTTAAAAATCATGCTAGCTAAATACATTTTCATAGGCTAGATTCAATCAGCTTGCAAACACTGAGCTAGATGATCTTTCTCTACCAGTCTATGAGTCTTGGACTCTAATAGGCTGGAAAAATGGAGGGTGACAGTCTTCAGAGAGGGATTTTTCTGGGGAAGCACCATTGGAAACTTTACAAATGAGCAGAAGGAGAATGATGGTATAATGGGAAAAAACCTTGGACAGGGCATCTAG